ACAGACTGAAACCGGAGAAATGGCTTAGAACAGGCTAGCAGTGGTATCATTTCGGTTTCCCATTTTTTGGCTTTTCGGTTACAGTCATAGTCATTATCAACTAAAGTTTTGAAAGTAAAAGTCAGCTGCTAGTAACAACTTAACCAAACATCACGTTTCGCTCTCATATCCCATGAAAGCCGATTCGGTAAGTAAGTATGAAGATGCCACGACTTCGAATTCAGTGCGAAAGCTCTCATGTTGAAAACAACAAAAAGGTTAGCGATTTGTGAAAATAAATCAAATTGCTTTTAAATTTTTACATTATTTAACTCTTAAAGGACTGCTGTTGAATTTCCGTGGACTTGAGTGCAATTGAGGCTATTTCAAACAACCACTTTGTATTGCACACTTAGCCTATTGAGTTAGCTGTAAACTTCGATTGTATCGCATCGGATATTTCCCCAAAAAATCGTTCGGCCAAGCTTTTGAAGAGAAACACATATCGGCTTCTTAAGTTGTAATTTATGGCGGATTGTATGATGATGCACCTCCTTAAATTGTACACTTGCTTCCATAAATTTGTTTACCATTTAGAGTTCCTAAAGGTATTTCTTAATCAGTATGGAAAGGAGAAATGCATCTCGGAAATAAAAAAATTCGCAGCCAAGCTGGGCGGAAACTTTTCAATGAGTCTCGGGGGGAAATTTTCAATCTCGATGCATTTGGTGGCTGACGCTAGAAACGTGCAAAATAGGATCATGACGCATGCTCGCGCATTTGAATTTGATTATACGAGTTCACTAGCTCTGTAATAATGTTACCTACGACGAGAACTTGTTATATTTTATGTCAAAAATGGAAATACCCGACCCAAAAAATTGATCGGTATATCTACCAATCGATCGCATTAATTGATGATTGACTGATGATGTCACTGTGTTCTGACTATCATTGCAATTAAATTCATTTTATACTCCCATGCACCATTACACGTTTATGTCATGGCGTATATCATAGATAAAAATCAAAAGGCAAGGAGTAAGATTCCCTAATGAGCAATTCAACGGAAGACTTTTCGCTGGAGACAAACGTAGAAACTTTATCCGTTTTATGGCGCCAAGGTCATTACAAGTAACTTATTTTAAATCATTTGTTACTTTTCGTAATCAGCAATCTAATTTAATCGGTTAAACAATCACCCGCAGTGACTGTGTTTTCACGTCACCGGATAATGACCTGGTAGTTCGTTATGGTATCAATTGGAGAGGGGCACGTGCGCAAATAAATCAAGTTTTAGTTAGACAGCGGAAGGTGCATGCGTTATTCGCACATAGCAGAACACTTTCCATTTCCTAGCTTGAATGGAAGGATATTCTTTTCGATACGATTGCCGATGGATAATTTTAAAAAAGGAAAGCCTCTGAGATCGTGAAACATATAAGGCCTTTCTCTGGACAACTACACAATGAAGAGCTTTATCAGTGTTTACATGGCCTCATCTTAACTCTAGAGGAGTTAGAAGAATTTGATAAGTTAGGCAAACCCGAGACGCAGTTTACCTCAGTTCCCTCGACGATGTCGTCCAGCTCACGATCATCGGGGCAGGCAAAGCGATGAAGTTCTTCTTTCTTTTTCCTTTATCCTCGGGCTCGGAGGGATTATGATGGCCAACCACAAAATCAAAATTTGCAAATTTTTCCTATTACCTTAATATTTGTTTCCGGAAATGTTTTGTTGAGTGTTGCTAAGATCGGAGATGACATCAAAACCGTCACGCGCAATTTCTTAATCTTCTAAGTATATCACAATAAGCAATTTCAGGAAAATTCGAGACGGTCATTCTCGATAAAATTGGTACAAGTAGTGGTGTCTGACAATAAGCGAAGTATCATGCAGAGGAAAGAGATTAGTGGCAGGAAAAAATAGGTGCAGGCTTCCTGTCCGGTAATACGAACTCAGCGGTAGGTAGAGTCGCATCAGGTTATAAAGCTTGCCGCCACATTTTCTGTAGAGTTTTTCATTTTCTTTTCGGTCGTATATGCGTGCTGCATACCTCTAAAGAGTTGCACCTAAATCATTACGATGAGATTTCCCTAACGAGGAATAGGTATCTGATACCGCAAACACTGTGCCAATTTTTCTTTTTTTTTTCAAGTAAAGGACTTTTAGTGAAACAAATACGTCATTTAATGTTAGAGCTCCTTAGTCTGAAGAGGCAAACAGCTGTAGCGAGTTTTGAAGATTGCTGTTGGTTTGAACTACTGATAAAATAGCTTTAAAATATTTCCGAGTGCGAACTCTAAATCAAGATTGGTGACATCTACACCAGCTAAATTAATCACCAATTGTGAAGAAAATATTGATTGATCTTGCTTTAGTCTCCTGATGCTTGCTTGTTCCAGTAGTAGAGCAAAATAGAGATAGCGTAGTTTCTCAGTGTCAAATGTCTAAGTATTCCACTAAAGCGTGGTCTGTAATGTCCTATTTGCACATTCAAATTACCCGAGCCTCTGATTGATTTGGCGCATGAGCTTGTGAGAAAAGGTGTCATCGAATTAATGTTGAAGCCTCTTTGATAACTAACCAATTTATGTTTGCCGTATAAGCGAACACAAAAGGGCAATGTTACATATGCTGTTTCTCAAGTTGGCTGGGCTTTAAAATTCCTAAAAAGGTATGCGAGAATGTATTATCCGCACTAAATGGTAGTTCCTTCTTTGTTACTGCTCTTGATGGTGAAAAAATTGACCTTTTTCTCGGCGGCGATGCAGTAAATGAAGCACTAAGGCTTTGACTTTAAGAGACATCTTTACCTAGTGTGTTTTGCTTACCTACTTCAAGTATGATACTTAAGCGAACTGTTTCATTCAGATTTCTTCGTTCACGTGCGTATGTACCAATGATTCACAAAAGATAAGGCTGAGAATTTCCTTTAGACCTGAAGAGGGTAAACAAAACGTACAATGTGACGAAGTACATTAATTTCGAAAAAATATCCTCCGAAATTCGTTTATTTGATGCTGAAAGTTACCAGACGACACATCTACACTTTACGTGATAGCCTTGATCCTTTAGTAAAAGCCGCAACGTTGTTACGTCTGTTTTCTCTCCCAAATGGGGTATTTCATTTGCAATTTTCTAATAAGAAGCATTATAATTTAGTTCTAACAACGCATCTTCGCTACAAAAAAAAATCATTCAGCTACCTGCATTTACCTTCAACCACAATTATTTTCCTTTATTTACCCTCATCTACGGTCATATTTCTTTATCCACATTCCTCTCATCTACCTTCCTCTGCTTTCATCTACCTTTATCTACTTTCATTTCCGTTCATTGACCTTCATCCACTTTCATCTTCCTTCACCTGACATATTCTACCTTCATTTACTTTCATCGACATCTGCCTTCATCGAAATTTACCTTTGTGCCTTCGTTTAATTTCATCGCCCAGCATTTACCTTAAAATACCTTCATCTGTTTCAATTATCTATTCAGCAATATTCACTCCCCACCATCTACCTCATCTTTTTTTCTTCATCCACTTTCATTGACCTATATTTACTTTCATTTCTATTCATCTTCCTTTGTCTACCTTCACCTTTCTTAAGCTACCATCGTTGCCCTTCATTGTCCTTTTTTCTACCATCACTGACATTCATCGTCCTTTATCTATCTCCATTTACCTTAAGCTACAATTATTTACCTTCATCTCATCGTTTTACTTCATTATCTTCATCTTGGCTTTAATATATCTTTGTCTCAAATATTTTATCATAATATGCCTAATTGTCCTTTATCGACTTCCTTTGCCTTTATTTACCTTCATCTACCTTAATTTTCTTCAGCTAACTATATCTACCTTATTTCACTACGTTATTATTTCGTTTACCTTTCTATCCTTCATTGCTCTTCCTTGTCCTTCATCTATCTTCCTTTAGCCTCATCTACCTTCATCAACCTAAAATTATAATCATTTGCCTTCATCTGCCTTCAACTGCGTTCAGATTTCTTCATCTGCCATCATTTGCCTTGATCACTCTCCATTACTATTATTCATCTTCTCTGCTTTCATCTACCTTCATTGACTATCGTCTTCTTTCATCTACCATTCTTTACCTTCAAAGACCTTCATTTGCCTTTGCATGTCTATCTTTATGTACCCTGATCTATCCTCCTTCTCCTTTTATTTCCTCCATTGTTCTTCAGCTACTGTCATTTATCCTTTCCTCCTTCAGCTAGTATCTTTTACCTTCATCTACCTCATCCACTTTCATCTACCATAATTTAGCTTCACATACCTTCATCCTCCTTCATCCTCCTTCATCTACCTTCGTTTTCTGTCATCTGCCTTATCTACTATTTTATACCTTCATTCACCTTCATCTATATTTATTTACCTTTATCTACTTTCACTTATCTTCGTTTACATTTTCCTTCTTTTACCGCCATTTACCTACATCTACCTTTATTTACCATCTCCTACCTTCATTTAACTTCGAATTAATTAACCTTCAACTCCTTTTATTTACTTTCATCTCTTAAATATACCATCATCTACCTCTATTTACCTTCATCGGCCCTATTTTACCTTCAAACACATTCATCTAATTTCATTTCCCTGAAGGTACAAGCAATACTTTGCATTTATTTGCTTTTATCTACCGTCATCTACTCTTACCTACCACAGATTACGTTCACTTGCCTTATTCCAACCTCATCTACCGTCATTCTTCTTGAACCACCTTCATCTCACTTTTTCTATCATCTTTTGCCTTCATCTACCATCATCCATGAAAAACTTTCAAGAAAGTGCAGTTTTTGACAATTATCCCTTAAAACGCTAAAAATAACCTTTCGGGTGACCTAAAATTTAACATTTTTGTGTGGGAGTATGGTATCTATTCACCCCTCCAAGACCTTTAGTTCTTCAGCATATGTTAATCCAACCCCCTTATTAAATCTGGATCAGCCCTAAGCAGTGAATTCACACCATATAATGAGGTTTCTTTCCTTCAGGTTCTGCTCTGCTTTTTCTGGCACTATCTGTGAATTTTCAAATTCTACCATCAACGCGGGCATTCCCAATAGATTGCCAAGAGAACACTGCCGTCTGTTTAGAAGAAATAATGAAGGAAGTCACCCAAGTTCGATTTGAGGTTAAAATTCTCACGGAGAACAAAACATCGGCGAGACGTAAGCACGATTCCTCTTCGTTCATGCGTATTACTACCTTTAGTAACACGTATTCATTTCAATTTTTAATCGTTATTTTTCAAGAGAATATCGGCTGTTATTCCCTTGTATTTTATCAACAGCTAAAAACTGTGTTGAGCTCTACCATTCCGGTCAAAGGATCAGCGGTGTTTACACAATCGACCCAGATGGCTCAGGTGCCTTTAATGTCTATTGTGACCAAACTACTTCCGGTGGGGGATGGACAGTCTTCCAGAAGAGAATGAATGGCTCCGTTGATTTTAATCGCACCTGGAATGACTACAAACATGGCTTCGGTAACTTGGTCGGTGAATTTTGGCTCGGACTGGACAAGATAAACCGTCTAACACAAAACAAGACAAAGAACATGCTTCGAGTAGATCTGGGGGTAACTACCTGCCAAACTGTTCACGCTGAGTATGAATGGTTTGGGATTGGGAACGGGACGGCTCACTACCGGCTATACATTGGCAATATGACAAGTAAGTAAACCATCTTTTTAAACATTCATCGTTCGATTTTTATGTGTTACTTCCCTATCAACGTCTACTGCCCCATTCACGCCAAAGCTTAAAAGCTGTTTTGCTGAAAACGATTTAAAGTTTGTTTCTTCAGAAAGGCTGCTTAAACTGATGTTCGTCCACTTCAAATTTAGCAAATTGAAAATGCAAATCAATGACAACTTGAATCCTAAGGAAAACTGATTTTAAATTCAATCCCTTTTCCCAACTCCTCGTAATCTACAAACAATGGTTTGTTCTAGCCTATACCCGCCTGACTGTGTTTTGCTATTAATTCTGCCCGTAGTTAGCTCAGTCCACGCTCTTCCGTGGACAGTTTGCTCTCGAAGTTGCTTGAGATAGAAAATTCATTGAACTCGACTATAGCAAAATCATAGAATTTTAGCATTTATAATTTTGCCCGGTATTTTTGTATTTCGATAATAGTAGCTATCGAGTTTGAGATGTCAAAAGTGTTATCTCAAGTTGATCCTAATATTATGGAATTTTCTTTTTTTTTTAAGCAGATTCAACTGTTTCCTCTGATTCCCTCAATCCTCACAAAGATCTCATTTTTGGTACCTGGGATAGAGATGCTGCTAATTGTATTCCAAAAAGAGGCGGAGGCTGGTGGTATGGCAGCAGTAGTGATTGTGCTGTTTCGTCGAATCTCAACGGAATTTATCCGCATTGTCGAAAGAAGACCTGGGCCAATATCCATTGGGATAAATTAGATCAAAACAATCCCAAAGGCAGCGCCCCCACATCAACTGAAATGAAAATTAGACCAGTGGATTTTTTTTAAAACTTTCTGACGGTAAAGTGTTCATGTAATTAGTGATTTCTGACTCCTCTGATCGGTTCTCGTTTTCTAATGATTTTTAAAGCTTCATCTTCTTAGCGCTATCAATAATCACAAATTGTTAAACAACTTCACAAATACTTTATTTTGCATATCTTGTTGATACAAATAAAACCAAAACAAAACAAACCATGACAAAAGAAAAAGACATATGTGTCCCAAACTAGGATAGATACGAACGGAAAACGCTATTTGTAATCTCTTAGGAATTATCTGTGAAACCCTGCATAAAGAAGGATTAAAATTTTATTTTGGTCACGGCATGGCAAGGAAACGTACGTACTTTGACCCTTGACTGTCTGTGCATTGTTCTAACATCTGATGAAACTGGAAATTGATCAAAATGAACGATGAAAAAGTCATAAATTTCTCTCTCAAAGTCACGGAGTATCACAAATAGCAAATACCGAACTTGGAAAATTCGTCATAAAATTTTCGCTTAAACCGTCACATGGTCGGAATCTTCAAAACAGATGGCGACTGATCATTAAGCTATTTAGCTATCAGTCTGTGAAGGAAAAGTCCGAGACACTGAGGTAATGTTTATTATTCGTTTCCCTCTCAATTTAAAATCTCTAAAATACAAAGTCAATAGTTTTGTTTATAAATGCGCAGAAACGCTACGTTTTCGCTTTTTATGGACTAGCCTCTTTCGTAATGAGAGAAATTGAGACAGTTTAAGTAATCTTCGATAAATCTTAATTGTCATGTTTATTGGATTTAACTTATCGGTCGGATCGGCTTTGCGGGTTGAAATGCTGCCAGAATAAAGTCGTTGAATTTCTGATCCATTACGTAAACGGGTTGCTGCCACCTTCAAGTAGCTTCAAGGCAGAATTTCTTCTTACAGCATCAACACAATATCAAGCAGTCGAGTGTTGAGAATATCGCGAAATATCAATAAGGGAATTATTTATTGCAGGATCCAATACAAAGTTCCCCAAAATAACATCAAAATAATTGAATCGCAGCCAGTATCGAGAATTTCTTATGAGATCTTGAAAGTAAAAAGCCGGTAAAGGGGTAATCACGGCTATCACTGCACTGAAGAATCTATTAAGCATTAGAAAGAGGACCGTGAGCAACTCCAATCTTCCGTCATTAGGATTTCAAGTTCCTTACGCGCGAATAATATCAAGATTAGCTATTTGTTTGTTTGTTTGTTTGTTTATTTGTTTTTTTAAGATGATGTTTTTTAGTGGTTGACACAGGCATAAGTGGAAAAAGAACTCTTATGTCGGATTTTCGGATTTTCGGGAGACTCGTGACAGGCTGAGTTGTTTAACTAGGTCCATGGCGACAATCTTCCTCTATACTGCGAGGATAGGAATGATGAAATGCGATGCTATTGCGCAATAGTGTTGTAAATGAAGACGTTCAGTTTTAATCCTAGTGATTTGTTTTTTGTTTTGTTTTTGTTTTGTCTCACAGACTCTCCACGAATGCCTCAAGCATTTGGTCGGTTAGAGTTTCCTTTCTTTTCTTTAACGTCTCAAACATGATACGACAAATGAAGAAGGCATGAAGTCTCAATTAAAACTTACCTATCGGCCAACGAGAGCGCACGCGCTATCTTAAATTTTTTCACTATGAGTTATTAAGGCGAGTATGCAGACGTTTTTTTTTTTTTTTTCTTTACCGTTAGCATCTGAGTTTCCGTTTGTCTATCTTATACCTAATCTTTCGCAATATCCGCCCGGTGAGGTGTAGCAGCATATATATTATTGTAGAATGCCTCTCAATGCCACCCAAAGAAAGAAAGAAAAAAACAAAACAAGAGTTTAAATTCTTCAAAATAAAATTATCTGAATGGCATTTTCTAATCTCTGTATGGGGAACTTTGGCTGTTACTGTTACAGCCTTTCGAGAGAACATGAACTGATCAAGACTCCCAAATTAAGCTTGTTCCGACACTCAAAGAATTCAACTTAGTGGTAGTGCTTGATTGCCAGGACTAGGATTACGTGGCGACTAAGCAACGAGGAGATAAATAAACGTTTTAGAAATTTGAAGTACGTCATTGTGCAGAAGCGGTGTTTGACAAGACCCCGCAAGTATCATTTCTTGCGGTGTGCATGCCCGTGGGGCGGTGGGGAAGTGCTTCATAGGAAGAGGCTAATCGGGCTTTTCCGCTGGATTGGGCGCATTTTCACGACGGGATTGACTATAATGGGGTTGCATTTTTCAATATAGTTATCAGAATGGGGTCGCAGGTCTTTCGGGATTTAAAAATGGGAACATTTACTATCAAAAGTTGTCAAAGTATTTCTTGCTGTTGTTTAACAATCGGCTGGCATTAGAGCCAGAAGAAGTTTTTTTTCCTTAATCATTTTAACTAACTTCGTTTCGTTTTAAAAATAATCTTGCACGGTCATGTTTTATTGGACAAAACCTTTCCGTACAGTGTCCTCAGGGGTTGAACATCCTTGGGTACAAAGATATCGAATTTCCGATCCATTACGAAAACGGGAAGCAAGCTTTAAGCATTATCATGGGTCAGTCACGGCTGACGCTGAACTGAAGAATCTATTGAGAAAGTGGACTGTGAAATAACTCTAGCTAATCTTCTGGTTTGTAACGAGTATTACGAGTCCTCGACGAGTAATCAATATCGAGATTAACCTGGGTGTGGGCGACAGGGAGAGAATAGAGTAAGATAAAGAAAGATAAAGTTAAGATGGATTTGGTCGATGTGTAATAAAAAAAAATAAGAAGATTTAGAATTCGGCCGATGAGGTTGGACCTTTGGCCAATGGGTTTATTAACTTGGTAGCCAGGGTAGCAGATGATCGGCGAGAACTTGTAAATAAGAAACATGTTAAACGGCTGTAAATAAATGAAAGTCGTATATTTGAGCGTATGACTCTCGTATATTTACAGCCGTTTATTTACCACTTCATGGGTTTATTTGGAACCAACACAGTGACCAGCTCCCGGTAGTTGGTAGAGCACTGCACCGGTATCGCAGAGTTTATGGGTTCAAATCCTGTACTGACAAGCCTGAATTTTTTTTCAGGCCTTCTTTTCGCTGCTGCTTAACTAGTGTTCATTACCGCGAAGGTCGCTTTCATATCCACAAGACGTATGCTGTAAAAAAAAAAAAAATGTTTACATTAGACGTAGCATTGTATGAATGCCACATTGACCGAACAAGCTTGGCAAAAAAGGATTAATTGTTGTTATTCAGAATAAATCTTTTGCTTTAATATTACTCGAGAGTAACTAGTTTTATCTCCGCTTGGAGATAACCAACTGTGAAGGTGCTTTCTCGTTTTGACAAATTGAAATATACAGTATTGTGCAAAAGTAATGCAAACGATTATCGTCGTTTATCGCGCTTTGTTCTTCCGATATATCGTTCATTTTCTTGACACCTTAAGAACGATAAATCGACGAGATATCGGAGCTTTCCTGCGATATCTCGTTCCGACGATAAATTGTTCCAATGATACATCGTTCCGGCGATATATCGCTAAAACGATATATCGTAGAGCGTGCAGAACATCATTACAATATCTCGCTTCAGTGAAATATCGCTCCAGCGATTTGTCGCTGAATCAGGAAAGACTCATCGCGATATATCGTTCTAGTGATATATCGCCTCAGCGAGTTTTCTTATGGCGAGAAATGCTTGTCTACTATATCTCGTTCAAGCGAAATAATTATAAGTTATTTCTTATTCCTCCCCCATTATGTTTTGGTATATGTAAGTTGTTAATGTTATTTTAGTGCGTCAACAAAGCTAACATTCAATGACAGCGTAGTCAATAGGTACATGTAATTATAGTAAATGCAGCCAGTTTAAAATGGGGCTTTATTTGAAGCTCGTTGCAGCATTGTGAAAGGAGGTAGGCCACAAGGGAAATATTTAGATTTAATATTCGAAAAATTGGTAAATCAAGATCAACTTAGTTTGGGCGCTTTTCTTTTTCATTTTTTCGCAAATGCTGGCAGCATTTTCTGATGCTAACCTTGCACGTATCTCACATGCGACTCGTTTCGTCAGTACTGTGGCACTGGTAAGAATAGGCCTTGATCACCTCAGCCAAAAAAAGAAAAGAAAAACAGAAAAAAAAAATCAGAAAAACAGATAAAAACCTAAGAAAAACAGAAAAAAACCTAAGAAAAACAAATTATTAATTGTCGCAGCGCAAGGGGGAGCGGAGGGTCTTCCTCACTAGTACAACATACAAATCATAAAAGCAAAACAAAACAAAACAAAACAAAACAACACAACATATAAACAATCTGCCTGGAGAACATGATACATTTCATCGAAGTAAAAAACAAGCTTTCATTAGCATAACTTTTATAGCTATGTCCGATCGAGACACTTCAGAATACTGACCTCGGCTCCACTTTACTTAAACGAGTTTTTCTTCAATGATGTCTTCCATTTTGGTTCTGGGTGCGATGATGAAAACTATTTATGTTAAATGAATTACGCTTTCCCCTCTTACGGCAATCGAAGCCCGTGGATGGATCGAGATTTTTATCAGATGACTGGTTCCTACTTGGTGTTTTGTTCTCCATAACAATAGAGGCGTAGGCTTCATGAGAGCTTTTCATATTTAAATTAACTACACGCGAAAAGATATGAGCAAAAGGCGTGATAAAGCGACTTTGATAGAGTTAATGGAACCGCGGGCTAATTTCAGTCCTTAGATTGTTATGTGAGTAGGCGGGTAGTTTGAAAGTGCTAAAATTCTCGTTTCTGAGTTTAATGAAATATGCACTCACGCTTCAGTTTTTGTGGCACGTTCAAAGAATAAGCAAGGAAACAAGGAATATCAATGCCCGATTCTATTCGTCCTTAATTAACCATGCTGTTTTTTGTAGGAGAGAGAGGTTCAACTAAAACAAAGTTTTTGTCTCAGTTTTGGTCTCATGCGCGCAAAAAAAGTAAACGTATTGATGGTATGAAGGCTATGCATGAGTAGTCTATTGATTATTGTTTAAGAGAGCGGGTCATAAAAGTGCCAATATGCTAACTCAATTAGCATTGGTAACTAGTCCCTAGGGATTTTGGATATAATAGATTGTTTTGTATCACTCCTTGTCACTTCACTTGAGGCCTTGGGCTGTGTACTGCTTCAAGCGTTCTATAACTTTTTTCGACGGATCAATCCGACATGGCGGAACAAGTTCCCCAAGCCGTTGCCGGTAGAGCGATAGCTCAAGTTGTTCAAAATCCTCAACCTGCTCAAGGCGAACCTGCCGTGGCGCAGCAAGCTCAGGACCAACCTGTGGCACAACAAGCTCAGAATCAAGAGGTATGCATCTTTTTCTGTTTCGGATACCATGTGGTTGATTATATTTCAGTGCCTAATTTTTATCGGTAGAGTTTAGATTTGATTTACTTTCTATAGATGTGAAATTGTGTCAGGCCTGCGGGGCCGTGAAAAGTTTTTTCTTTGCCTGCGGGGCCGTTAAAGTTACTTGCCTGCGAGGCTGTGAAAGTTTTCTTTGCCTGCGGGGCCGTGAAAGTTTTTTCTTTGCCTGCGAGGCCGTGAGAGTTTTCTTTGCCTGCGGGGCGGTGAAAGTTTTTTCTTTGCCTGCGAGGCCGTGAGAGTTTTCTTTGCCTGCGGGGCCGTGAAAGTTTTCTTTGTCTGCGTGGCCGTGAAAGTTTCTTTGCCTGCGGGGCTGTGCAGAAAGTTTTCCTTTGCCTGCGAGGCCGTTAAAGTTTTCGTCCCCTGTGGGGCCGTGTAGGAAGTTTTTTTTTTCTTTTGCCTGAGAGGCCGTTTGGATTTATTTGCCTGCTGGGCCGTGGAAGTTTCCTTTGCTTAGGAGGCCGAGAAATTTTCTTTGTCTTCGTAGCCGCGAAAGTTGCTTTGTCTGCGGGGCTGTTAAAGTTTTCTTTGTCGGCGGGGATCAAAGTTTTTTCTTTGCTTGCGAGGCCGTGAAAGTTTCTTTGTCTGCACTGTCATTTAAAAATTTTTTGTTTGTGCTTCTGGGGTCGAAAATAGTTTCGGTATTTTGCTTTTTGGAATGAAATGCTTTATGTTCACCTTCGGTTGTGGTAGTGTGATGCTGGCGCGCAAGAATAAATTTTTTCTCCTTTAGCCATTTTTGTTTTTGTGGCTTGAATTTTACTTTGTAGCCCCTCGTTTAAGAAATTGCTTGCTGATGTAGAAAGTTCTGTTGCCGTGCTTTGCTTCGTTGGAGTGTGATGCCTGAGCATCAGTCGCCGTTCATTTGCTTGTGCAAGCTTACGTGTAGTAGTTTTTAGTTATACGGTATGTAAAAAAAAACAAAACAAAACGAAAGACTGCTCTGCTGTTGTGTGTTTTTTAAACATTTTTTGGCCTGTGAGGCTAGGAGCGTTCATCGTTATTGCTGGAAGTTTGAGGTTTTGATAATTTAATTTAATTTTTATTTAATTTAATCTAACTTAATGTAATGTAATATTTCATAACTTGTAATCTAATCGGTGTTGTTCTTTTTCAGCCTGTATTATACTGTGCTTGATCAGTTATGAGATTGAGTAATGAAAAGAAAGGAAATGAATAGATCAGTGATTTTTTATCTTGCCTTTTGAATTCTGTTATATAAGAGGAGGGTGATCTTGCTCGTGTCTTAGAGAGACTTTAGAAGTTGGAAGATTCCCAAAAGAAATCTGTTGAATCAGTGTTGGAGGATTTACAGCACATAATACGTTCTCCGTTGTTCCAGAAGGACCAGAGAATTGATTACCTAGTGAATCTGAAGATTGTGGCCAAGGAAACAAAACACGCGAAGGCTGGATTTTATTCTGCAGTGCTAACAGCAGTGCAAAATAAAATGTGGGCCTCAAACATGCAATGTAAGCAAAGAAGTGGTACTCAAGCGGATTGCTGCCGTAGATAAAGCGTTGCGAGTGCCTGGAGTCGGTGCAAATCGTTTCATGCCAAGGGGGAGAGGCAGGGATAGATCACAAGTCCAGTGTTTTCAGTGTGGCCTATATGGGCATTATCAGAGGTTCTGTTCCTCGCGTCCACAGCCAGGTCCTCAGTCTAAGAGGCCTCGCCTTTATAATCAAGGAGTTGAGGCACCTCAAAAACAATGAATGTATTGACAGGATTAAGGCGTTTTCCCAATGTTTTTTGATCAGTTTCCAGTATTTATGCCGTGTGTTTCTCGGCATTAAAGGCTCCCTTTTCATTGTGTCAATCGGTGTCTGTTGTTGTTTCAATTTTAATTCACTCTTGTAAGTTCTGGATCGGGGTAGAGTAGCTCCTGCTGGTTCATCACATATGGTGACCACCAGACGACCTGTTTTCAGGCGAATTGAGGCTGCTCCCTCCTGATCGGGAACCCCAGGTCTTCCCATAGGTGATCTCTCTTTTTGCCCTCTTTTCCTTAGATTTTGGGTGGTACTAAGCGTGAAGCTGCTGTGGATAACTTTTACGTTCTCACGGAATTTCAACTACAGACAACGGCAATTAAACCAAGAAACGAGACCCTATGGGTGGATGTGACTGGGGTTCCTGTTCAGGGGGGGTGCGGCTGTGTGTTGGGAAAGTGTTATCTCATTTGGTAAGGTTCCGGATCTGGGGACTTTACATTTAAGGGATCCGGATTCCTTCGTGGCAGGTGGTCTTCACCGTAATTCAGCCGCCTGGGAGCTGGTACTTGAGGGTCATCCGTTGAGGAACTGTATTCTAGATTGGATTAGAAATAAAGTCGACATCTTAAGTTTTTCAAGACCTTTTGCAGGAGTTTTCAAGAGAGCTAAATATTCGTCTACTGTTCCTCCTAAGAAGATTTTCCCGAATCATGTAAACTGTAAAAATTTTACGGAATTTATATCCAAGGAGATTCGGAATCGTGTTTTAACCGGCGCTGTTAGAGTCTGGGGGGTAGTGGGTGTCGATGATCCCCCCCATCTTGTGTTGCCACTCACGGTTGAACCTACGAAGCCTCGACTTTGTATTGACGCGAGGTTTCTAAAACTTTGGGTGAAAGATATGCCGTTTTCCCTGGATAAACTGAGTGAAGTGACTAGGTATGTTTACCCCAGATCGTTCATGACCAAGTGCGACGACAAGTCCGGGTATGATCACGTGATGTTGACAGAGTCCTCGCAATCATACTTTGGGTTTAGTTTTGGTGGCCTGTGGTTTGTTTGTACGACTCTTCCGTTCGGATGGAAAATCTCCCCTTATGTTTATCATACCATTGGTCTGGCCGCCACAGGTTTCTTGAGAGCTCAAGGGATTCCTTGTTCTCTCTATATAGACGATCGCTTAAATGGAGAGCTTTTGCGACCGACTGGGTCTTGGTCCATATTACCAGCGGACAGATCTTTGCAGTTCAGGTTGCTGGCAGCTACAGGTGCCATGTTCGTTGTCCTTTCTGTGTTGGTTGATCTCGGTTATACCATTGGTATCAAGAAGTCGGTTCTTGTGCCGGTCACATCCCTGGGGTATTTGGGTCTGATCGTGGATTCCGTTCGACAATCGTTTTTGGTGCCGCGCCGTAAGATTGAGTCCTGGGCCTTAATCAGGGAGAAAATTCTTGCCTGCAAGAAAACTGTTTGGATCAAAACTTTACAACGATTTCAGGGGAAATGCATATCTTTCTCTTTGGCTGTTCCAGCCGCGAAATTTTTCATTAGAGAAATGAGTAGAGCGATCGCTTCTGGCTTGGATGATGGGCAAGTTTCTATGACCGACGCTTTGAGGGAGGAAATTTCGTATTGGCGTTACCTTGACGACTGGAAGGATACTCTTCCGTGGAGAGACGAGAAGCATGTGCGTATTGCGAGTTCTACCGATGCGTCCGGTTATGGGTGGGGTTGTGCAGTTCATTCACCTTCGGATGATCAGATTTTTCGAGATTATTGGAGTCAAGAGGAACTGTGTCTCGATATTTCTACAGAGGAAATGTTAGCTTTGTTGTATGCTATTAAAGCTCTTCCTGACGCAATTAAGGATTGCCGAATTGATGCTTCTATTGACAGTATGACAGTATTAGGTGCGTGGCAGGGGTCTGGTAGTAGGAGATCCCCCCAGTTAACGTCAGCTACAAAACGACTTTATTTTGCTCTATCTTCTCGTAATGTTCAGTTGAACTTATCCTATGTACCATCTAAGGAAAATGTGGCCGATTTTCCGTTTAGGACAATGTCACGTGTGGATTCCAAATTGTCAATGTCAGCTTTTGAGAGGGTCGATAAAGAGTTTGGTGGAGTTGAAGGTCATTCGTTTGACTTGATGTCTTTGGACTCAAATGTAATGAAGAACAAAGATGGGTTTTCCTTGCCGCATTTTACTCCTTTTCCAAGCCCAGACTCCAACGGTGTGAATGTCTTCAGTCAAGACTTGCGGGTTTTCCCGTCCATGTCCAATCCTTATGTCTTCCCGCCATTTTCTTTGATTGGTCCACTGTTGAAGTTTCTCTTGAGTTTTAAGATCCCGTTCACTATTGTGGTACCAGAGTTTGCTCCTCATCGCTATTGGTGGGTTGAATTGAACGCAAGTTCTGGGAAAATTTGTCTTGGTACACAGGGTGACTTGAGTGTTCTGCTATCCCCATCAAAGTCGGGTTATAGTCCAACACCTTGTCCCTTTTCTATGTGGGCGTTTCGCGTGTCTCGGTTCTAGGTGTAGAGTCGGGCTCATTGTTTGTTTCGTTTTTGTTCCCTACAGACATTGCCTAGAGTTCCGAATTTATTCACTCCCTGCGTTGCGTGCCCACGATGCTCACATCCGAACGATGAGGATTTCAATTTTTGTTAGAAATGTGGTTATGTTAGACGTGCTACAATCCAAGGACCACTAAAGAAATTGGATATTGATGAAGGTAGCATTGCCCAACGAGTACGCGAGTTGAATGAGCAACGTAGTTCGTCTCGTTATTCTAAACAGAAATCAGCTCTGGAATTGGAGTTTATAAATTTTCTGGGAAACTTGTCAGTCCCCAAGTCTTTGTCGTCAGCGCTTCCTTCGGATGTTATTGCGTTCCTTGTGTGGAAGGATGGAAAGGGAAGGACACGAGTTCATAGACAGGATTGTCACACCTGGGGAGGTAATGCGGGGCTAGATTGTGAGTGCCCTAAACGTTTGGCATTTGGGACTATAGATTCACTGATTGGCAAGTTGCGTGCTATATTTGCAGAGAGTGGTCGAGGCGCAGAATGGCAGTCTTTGTTAGGTGTAGGTAATCCAGCTTCTTGTAGGTCAGTTAAGAATTATTTGAGTAATGTGCGGGAAGAACAACTAAAGGCTAGGGTAACTCCACGCCAGGCAGAGCCTATCTTAGTGAACGATTTGTTGGTTATCTCTGAATTCATTAGAGCCCTTTTTGTTGCATTCTTCGACTTTGCGCGCAATTCAGATTTTTATGTATGCCCGCGATCAGGCTTTATTTAAGGCATTATTTTTGCTGGTGATAGAGCAGCTGATTTGTTACAAGTAAAAGTATCTGATGTTTTACGTTTCTCGGATAATTCTGGTTTGTTGTTCAATCATGTTTGGACAAAGTCTCTCAGGTCAGGTGACGCAAATGTGTTTGCCTTTAAGCGGGGATCTAATCCTATGATTTGTCCTGTCCGGGGTTTGGAAATGTATTTTGATGTGTGTAAGCTGTTACGTATTAACCTTGCGCCAGGTTTCCTTTTTCGCTCTATTTCAAAATCTGGCGGAGTTTGTTTCAGCCATTTGGAGTCTTCGGCGGCTCAAGCGCGATTGAGTTTTTATGTTTCCGCGCTAGTTGGGAAGTTATCTAGTAGTCATTTAACAGTTCATGGGTTTCGCAGTGGGGCGGCTGTATCTTTAGCATTGCGAAGCGTAAGTCTCAGTGAAATCATGGACCACATTGGCTGGAAATCTAGTAAGACGGCGCTTTACTATATCAAATTTAAGCAAGTAGTGAATCCAGCAGGCGCGGCGGCTAAACTAGCGGATCTCCCTTTACAAGCGGGGCAGGACTACAAACATCAGGATCATCTTGTGGGATTCTCCCAAGCTTTTTCATGAATTAATTTTATTGAAGTTTTGAACTATTATAGTATAGGTTATTGTTAATGATTAGATATAATATGTATTAAGTAAGGATTGGAAAGAGGGTTAAAGAGTTCTTTGTGTTTCTTTTCTTAAGGTGTGTGATTGTTCATTTCATATGAGTGTGGGTGTAGGCTTGGGAAGGCCAGAGCGATTCTCCATACCTTATTACCATCTCATGAATAACAATTCCTAGGGAGGAATATTACACTATTCTTGTTTGTCTGTTTGTAAGCGTAAGATGATGGGGTACATAAAAGACAACTTTCACGGTGTATTTCGTGCAAAGACTGTTTCATTCATAAGATATCAAGATTATTGTTTTTTTAAGTGTAAAAAAGGCATGTAGTTACAGTTTTAGTCGTTTTAATAACCACTGTTAATTTTTTATTGGTCAATGACTTTTGTGAAATTTGCGGCTCCTAAAGGAGCCATTTTGTTTTGAGTTGTGAAATCGATCTTTAAAATTGCGTTGCTGCTCCTTTTGCCTCCACTACCGCTGGGACGACTTTCTTGAGGACATCGAGAAATAGACTTTCAAAACGATAAGTTGATAAGTTGACTTCAAAAGTCTCGTTTGATTTGATTTAAAGCAGAAATTTACACCTACTTCCACGGACGAAATAAATTCCAATAAAGACTAAATGCCAAAGAGCAACTAAAATAGCTTGATTTTCAAAATCCAAGTTTAAAAGTGATTAAATATCTAACTGAATTAAAACAGTTCAATCCGGAAGGTTTGGTTTGTTTCCTTTGCCGCCGTCTACGATAAGCTTGTTGGCGCCTTGCACCTAATACTTCCTTCTAGAGATAAAAACTTCCCGAACGGTGTTTAGGTTTGATTAAGCTTTGTTGAAGGAACGCTGAATACTCCGCTGAAAGGCTGTCAAGGTGCCAGATTCCAAATCTGTACGTCAAGTTTTAAAAAATATACAAAAACAGTAAATTCAGTCCTTGCTTGGGAATGACAGTGAATTCGACCGTCGAATCGCACTCCAACGGTGATTTTTCTCAACATAGTTCCTTTGACGTAAGGTGATCAAAGCGATAGTTCTACCAAGATTTCCGGCGTTTGTTATTTGCTGAATCATCTGCACTCAAGAGTTTGTAGTCCAAAATTGCAAGAAAGCCATCAAGATTAGTTCAGAGAATGTGTATCGCTCCTGTTTACTGCAATAACGTACTGCACTAGAAGGAAAAATTTATCAATAAGTTGCGTGACATTAATCGTGCAACTAACAAAAGGAAATTTGTCATTTTTGGGCCATTGACTTATCATGCCATACGCTGGTCTCTCCCACCATTTCAGTGGCTTCTTAGCTTGGATCTTAGTACCGCCACGAGTTTGAATTCCATCGAGTTCTCTAATCGCAGGCCACGTGCAAAAATCGTTTCTTAATTAGTATTTCGTTCGCTGGTCAGAATATCATTTATGATGTTTAACATCGGGAAATATCAATTGTAACCTGCGACGCCTTAAACATTAACCCAGACAGATTCCGTGCGAGTTTGCACGAACTCTGAGCAAGACCAAGCTAGGGTATAGGCTGGTCATACCACGTAGAGCATTTTCCGCAAAATTAGTTAGTCTTAAATAACTGCGGAAGTCTAAAGTCCCACGTAGGACTTAAAATAAAGGAAATTTGTCAGATAACTGTTTTTTTCTTTTGGCAAACATTTAAAAGACCGTCATTACGCACAAACCTTTATCAGTTCTTGCAGGGAGCACACAGGAGACGGAAAAGAAATCAAACTGGAGAGGCAACTGGTTGTTAGCAAATAGTTGTTCCTTTGAAGCCTTTCTAACTAACGTTTCGGGCAACACCCGAAGATTTACAATGAGTGCCAATCGTTGAGGAATAGGTATGTAACATCTGGTGCCTATAAACTTAGGTAAAAAAGGGAGCCTAGAGCCAATGCTTACTTTTTCAAATGTAAAAATTTTCGTAGCACATAGAGTAACCTCCTTTTACAAAGGTTTAGTTTCAAATTGGCTGCCTTGAAAATGAATAAAGGGGTAGGTTTCTAAAGAAACTGTGGTGCTGCGTCGTTGAGAGAGTGTAGCAGGTAATTTAGTGTTAACAACTGAGTTGAAAACGTAAATTAGCCACCGTAAACTCAGCATGAAATTATAATTTTACGAATCCGTAAATATGCCGTAAAGTAAGCGTTTAGATCCTCTTTACGCGTTTTTACGAACTCCTTAACACTCTCGCAAAGAATGTCTTTACGCATTGAAAACGATAGTACGTAAAGATCACGGAGAGAGACTAAAAACATTATCTTTACGTGCCTTGTAAAAAGTCGTATAGAGAATATTTACGATATTTTACGGCGACTGCAAAGCGATCAGAAAGGCTATCTTTATGTGTTATTAAACTATCGTAAATGAGCAATATTTACATGCCGATTTGTCATTTTGCAGTTGTCTGAATTTTTTAGCAACATTCCCTTTTGCTAATCAGATCATAACAAATGTGAGCTCGTGACAAAATCGACGTAATGCGCTATCTTAACGCGTATTGCTCAAAGGCGTATCGAACGTTTGCGATATTTTACGCTCCTTTCAAGGACTGACACATGTATAACAACACGTGTTTTATACATCGAAATTTGTTTTAATTGTCATAACTCTTTAACTTGATTTTGTAATTTTCACAGTAACGTAGCTAGAGGTTTATATACACGGGATAATAACTGAAAAATACAAATTTCATAAATATAAATATTTTTACATAGAGATACAAAATGTCTCATTGGTTTCGCACAGCTTGTAGGCACATGGACCTTTGAGTTACCTTTCTTTGATTTCGTTTCCTTGCTGCCCGAGTTGTTCTCGGCGACAAGTTTACACAAAGAGTCCGCTGTGTTTGAAAGCTCTTCGAACTTAAAGGCATTTTCTTCATCGCGCTGCCTCAATTGCTCTCTTAATGATTGGTTTTCTTTCAAAGAATCGTCCGGTAGCACAGTAAAACTGTCGCTCACGCTGATGTGGTCGGAAATTCTTGACATTTTGAAAGAAAAAGAGTTCACTGATCACTAAACACGCCAAAAGTAAAGCCAGGAGTAATCGCAAATGACGCAAAACGACGCTAATATTCGCGCCATGATTAACAAATAGAGAAGCCTTAGCTGTGCTCTGTTCTGCGCTCAAGAAGTGAGGAGAAACACTCGACTACGTCTCGTGTTTCTCCTCACTTCTTGAGCGCTCTAACCGCTTCCTAAGTGCTTTATAACAGAACAGAGCACAGCTAAGGCTTCTCTATTTGTTTTATAATAAAGAATCCATTAAATTTCCCGAGCATTACTTTCAATTTTCAAAACAAACTTTATTTCCAAAGCGAGCAACAGTGTCGTCAGCATGCTCTATACTCTCATAAAGCACGCTACAATGTGCCAATAAGAATCCCTGTTAGAATGGTTCAAATAATCTGGTTGGCTGTACAAGACTAAAGCTGTCAAAAGTGTCAAACCATCAAAGTTAAAAAACCATCAAAGTTCACCTTCTGCGATGGTTTACAAACTGAAATAGTTTGGTAGGTCGAATTTAACACTTTTGCCTGAAGTTTTTAAGTCTCTAATACAGAATCTTGAAGTGAAATGTTCACTGAACTTCAACCGAATTATGGCTCATCAAAACACACGAGTTTTTTCACATGACAAGGTAGAAAACAAACTGTTCAGGACGAGTGTTTTTTGAATGAACGACAGCCGAATTCACCGGAACATGAAGATCGCTCGGGATGACAGCGCCGCAAAACTCGGCTGCAGTGACAGATGTGACTTTCCACTCAACGCATCGGAAAGGATATCAGAGCAAGCTCTTATTTTTTCACTCGAAGGGCGGCCGATGTAGTTTTTGAGGCTTGCTGTGATGACCGGAGATCGCCATGATGATTGAGCCGCGATAGACTTTAGCATAATCGTATTCGCTCAGACACCGTCATGATTAGAATGAATTTTAACAGTTAAGCCAGTTTGGTTATATTTTTCATCATTTCTGTTTTGTTCTGTTTTGTTTTTGAACACTGAACTTTATATACTATATGAGTGTAAGCTGTGTTTGATTTTTATTTCTGTACGTAAGCTTGCAATCTAACTGAGCGTGAATCAATCTTCAAAACCTCGAATGTCTATTTTGTTTTTCCTTTGAGGATTTTCGTATCTGCTCACGTTTTAATAACGTAAATTACAGCGCCTGGTATGTTTATAAACCTTTATTTGGTTCTTCTGTTGCTACTTGCCGGCTTGCTTGTTCCGAAATTTCACTTTCAATTATCGAAAAAAAGTTAAAAGGAAGTCCCGGAAAAGGTCGAACATAGTACAGTTTGGCAGATGGCGTGACAGCTTTAGCTCAGCTCTATGCTCTATACTCCTATAGAGCACGCTCTTTCAACCAAATACACCACGCGTTATATCCGAACTTTATTATAAATATAAATATATGATGTCTCACCTTCTGATAGGCTCATTGCAGTCTCGTTAACACGATCCTTTATCAAATAGTACCGACCTTGTCGGAAGAATCGTCCGAATTAAAGACGTAATTTAGTGTCAACAACTGAGTTGAAAATGTAAATTAGCCACCGTAAAGAGTTAAAAGGCTGACGTTTCGAGGGTTAGCCCTTCATCAGAGCGATTGACGAAGGGCTAACGCTCGAAACGTCAGCCTTTAAACTCTTTACGGTGGCTAATTTACGTTTTCAACTCAGTTGTTAACACGAAATAACCTGTTGTACTCTCTCGCCGATCTGCGTCAGCCTCGTTTCTATGTATTTTCATCCGCAGGGACTCATCATCAAACGTCCCGAGGACCAAAACAATCGAGTTTTAAAGTTCGACAAGCTTATTAATACAACATTAGAGCATCACGCTTGCACACGTGATTGCAGGGTCCATTTTATGGAAAAAAAAACATGATTGTGTCATCATGACAACTCCCTGATCAGGAGTTTCAAGGCGCGTTTAAAAAATAA